GATTTATAATATATCGTCTATATTATATATATCTCTCTCTATTTAAATATCTCGCGAACTTTATATATCGATTAATAAATTATATCTCTACGACTTAAAAAAGAAATATAAGAGATATTATAATTTTAACTATTCTATTTAAATCATAGCGTTAATATAATTAATTCTAAAAAGATAAAATGTAAGTTATCTTCGAAGTATTATAATTATCTAGATATTTTTAATAGAATTAAGACGAATATACTTCTTTTATATTATTCTTATAATTATAAATTAAAATTTAATAATAGCTTTAATAAAATAAAATTTTTAAAAAGTAAGATCTATTCGATATTAGAATATAAATTAAAATGGATAAAGAAGTATCTAAATAAATATCTAAAGAAGAGATTTATAATATTAAGTTATATACTATTCGTCTTACTTATTCTATTCGCGAAAAAATCGAATAAAGGGTTATATTTTTATGTAAACTATTAAAAGCTAAACGCTATTACTAAAAGAAATCAATATTTAATTTTATTAATAGATAAGGTTTTAATAAGGATCTAGAAATATAAATATCTTACTCGATTAAATATTATAGCCGCGTTTAATAAACTACGTATATATTTAAATAATAAGAACTTTATTACTTTTATTATCTTTCTTAGAATATATAAGTATTAAATTCTCTTCTTCGAATTAATTAACGACTTAATTATATATTAATAATATATAAATAATATTCTATTTAAGTATCTAAACGATTTCTACTAAATTTATCTTAATAATATATTTATTTATAGTAAGATAAAAAAGGAATATATTTAATACGTTAGATAAATTCTCTAAAAATTAAAAAATGTCGGCCTTTAGATAAATATTCTTAAATACGAATTTTATATCTAGAAAATTAAATTTCTAGGTCTACTAATATCTATAGACGAGTTATAAATAAACTTTATTAAAATCTAGGCTGTTATCAAGTAAATTATATTTATTAATCTTAAAGAGATATAAATCTTTATTAGATTTTATAATTTTTATTAATAATTTATTAGAGACTTCTTTAAAATAGTTAAATTTATAATAAAATTTATAATAAAGAAGATTATATTTAATTAGTCTCTAGTATATTAAAAGGCTTTCTACTTTCTAAAAGTCGCTATTACTAAAGCTTTTATTCTATATTATTTTAATAAAATAAAAAAGATTATTTTAGAGATTAACTCTTTTAACTATATTAATAAAGATATTCTTTCTTAATATAATAATAAAGAAATACTTTACTTAATAGCCTTCTATAATAAAAATCTAATTTTAGCCGAGTATAATTATTAGATTTACGATAAGAAATTACTAGCGATTATTCGCTATCTAAAATACTAATATCTCGAGCTAGAATATATAAACGTTCTTATTAGAACCTTCGCTAATTATAAAGAATTAATATATTTTATTAAGGAAAAGAACTTTAGTCGACGCTAAACTCGATATTTAGATATATTATTAGAGTTTAATATAAAGATTATTTATCGATTTAGACCTTAGAATATTAAGGTAAATATATTTATATAAATAGCTAGATATAAACTAATTAATTTCGAAGATAAATAATTACTTTAATAATATTAAATAATTCTTATTCTTAATTAATTAAAATTAAATAATAAGTATATCGATATATATATAGTTAATAATCTTATTTATTATAAGATAGTAGAGATTAATAAAGAGAATAACTATTATATAGAAATTCGTAATATTATCGCCGAAAATAAGAATAAGTTTCGAGGGATTATTCTTAATAGGTGCTTTATATAAAATGAAATACTTTTTTATAAAAATCGTTTATAGATATTCGATAATATATATATTAATATTATTTGAGAGATATATAATTAATTATTCTACGGCTATCTCGAGATAATATATATCTATAAACTACTTAAAAGAGAATATTATTAGCGAGATATAAAAACTCTTATAGCTATTTATATTAAGAATTACTATATTTATTAAAGAATTAAAGCGTCTTATAATCGAAAGTATAGTTTATTATAGTCTCTATTAATTTCATAGAAATAATAATAAGATATATTAATCGACTTCGTTATAGACTTATTTATATTTAATAATTATAACGCTATTTAAATAGTAATTAATTAATTTATTAAGAAATATTATTATATAGCCTATTTCGACATTAATAAAAGTACTATTACTAAAAAGATAATTAATTTATTACTTAAAAAAAAAATTTATTTATATAATCTATTAATCTTAATAATATTAAATTAAAATCTTTAATTTATAGCTATTATATAAAAGTCTTTTTATAAAAAACTAGATATTATAGCTAAGCTATTAATAGTCTTTTATTCTAAAATTAATAAATAGATTAAATAAGCGAATTAAGATATAAAGCGTTATCTTTAAATATATTATAATTATATATAGAACGATTAAATAAGATAACTATTTATTACCGAGTTCGCTAATAATAATACTATCTTATTAACTATTAATATTCTATCTTTTCTTATAAATAAGAGATTTTATTCTTAAATAACTTTTAGTTTAAATATTACTAATTATAAGATTATATATAAGCGTTTTAATACTATTCGAATAAAGGATATTATAAATTATATAAAATAAGTTTTTAAATATATTTAAAGTAATATAGATCGCGCTTAGAAGACTATAATTATATAAGTTAATAAGTATTAATAAAAGATTACTTTTTAAATAGACGATAAGATCTTTTTAAATAATAAGAATATTACCTTTAATTATCCTTCTTATAAATTAAACTATAAGAGACTTAATCTATTTAAGATTATAGATTTTATAAAAATCTTATATTATCTAAAACTCTCGCTAAGTATAAGAATTTATAATATCTTTTATTTTAATCTTTTAAGTCTTATAATAAATAACTTCTTATTAAGATAGATAAACTCTCTATTAAAATATATTACTATTAATAATTAAATCGAATAGATTATTAAAGAAATACTTATCTTTAAATTAATCTATAGTCGTTTCTAGTATAAAGTTAAATAAGAAAATCTTAATAATAATCTCGTTTAATATAATGCGAATAACGATAAATTCGAAAATTGCTAGAATCTAATAGATAACTTTTATAAGCGATATCTTAAAGAGTTTTATCTATAAAGAATTAATTAATAGAATTTTAGAACTATCTTAAATACCTCGTTTTTAATTAAATTAAAATCGTTTAATATTTTCGTAATAGCCTTATTTTTTTAGAGCCGAGAATCAATTCTTTAGATTTAGATTAATCGAAAATTATATTATATATAGTCTCTCGTATAAGATTCCCTTATTAACTAATATCTAAGTATCTTTTAAAGTTATAATACGTTATTTATAAATCTTACTATCGCTATCGATAGTCTTTATCGATATCGATTATATAGTATTTTATAAAAAAAACTTATTTAATATTAAATTAAGGTTTTTAGCGTTTATAACTCGATTTAATTTAAGAGCCCTTAATTAATTATATTATATTATTTTATTAATATTCTACTCGCTTAGATATAAATTCGAAAATTACTATTATTTACTTCTATATCTATAGATCTTATTTTCGCTATATTATATTAATTTTCTCTTAGCTAGGCTCTCTATATACGTCTAAATTATAATTAATAATATCGCTATAGTATAATTAAGAAGAGTTACTATTATTATTAATATCGTTTTTAAAGAAAAATATTATACTAGAAGATTCTAGATACGATTATTTCTTTATTACTTTTATTATTTTTTAGACGTTAAGCGTATATATATATCTATTTTTCTATCTTTTTATTTACTAATTATAGAATATAATTTAATAAAGAAGGAGGGTAGTATTATAAGCGTACTCTTAATATATCTCTTAGTTCTATAGCTAGCGAGCCTTAGCGAAGATATTTTCTATTATATTATATCTTCTTTTCACCTATATAGTTTAATATCTTAATTATCTTATTTAATATATCTATATTAATATTATATCTATATCGATTCTAATAATTATAATTTTAAAAAAAAGAATAAAAACGCTTATAATTTTAATTATTACTATTAATAAAAAGATAAATAGCTATATTAAATTACTCTTTATATTTTCTCTCTCTTAATAAAGAATAATAAATATATTCTATATATCTTAATCGAATTATTCTATAAATATAGAAATCTTAATTAAAATATTTTATATATATATTATATTATATTATAATATATATCATTAAGATATTAAATCTATATTAGAAAAATAGTATAATATTTAATCTTATTTATATTATACTTAAATACGATATAATATTACTTAATATAAAATATTTTATAGAATATATTATATCTTTTCGATTAGTAACTATAGAAAGATTATATTTTAATTATATTTAATTAATTTCTTAAGAGCTCTTTAAGATCTTCTAAAAGATTGCTATTAATGAATCTACCCTTATAGATACTCGTATCTACCCGGATATATACTCTTTAAATCCCGATCTTTTATAATTCGCCATTTCACAACAATATAATAAAAGATTAGAAAAAGAAAACCAGGGAGTAAAGAGTATGGTTTTTATTGAAAAACATTATTCTATTGGCGTGCCCGAACGACATCCAAGCGGTGATCTGCCTGCCTTCGACTTTTCTGTGAGCAGCTTCCAGGTCCTCTTGTTGCGTAGCATATATGAATAGCCTGGTATGCCTGGTCTGCCGCATCCGTCTGACTGCATAAGCGAGTCGGTCTGGAGCCATCCAGCAAGCCAAGATGGGCACGGTACTTATCCCACTTGTTCAGCCTCGTGCTTCTATGCAAGGCTTCGTTTTCCCCACTTCCGAGAGATATATATCCGCAGTCAGTCGTTCTACGCCCTCCGTGCCAAAAAAGTTTGCATAGACTTCGAAAATTGACTACTCTTGACAAAGAAGCCAAAATGGTGTACAACGAACTTAGACCAGCTCTGTTTCTCCTCACACACGCACTACCTATCATCTCCGCACTCGGCATCAACTGTCGAGGCTCCATCCTCTGTGGTCGGGCATCTCTTAGCAACCAACAGTCCGTGGGCATTATTCAAATCCTTCGAGACGTTATCTGGGCTTCTCCCATGTCCAACAGCACCACCTATGCCTCTGGCGACCACGTAATCTGTCTTTCTCAGTCTCAACCTATCGATTTTGACTTCGGTGCGGAGGTCGATGGCATCAGCGGCGGCATCGGTCTCTCTATCAACAGTCCGCAAGGCGGCATCTGTCTCTTTCCCCAATACCTGACAGTCGCGAACTTGAACCTAGGACAAATACGGCCGCTCGTTGATGCCATACTCGAACATGGATGTGGGCCTTGCGGCAGCGTTCCTATTCATTTCGTGGACGAAGGGAGCAATGATCCTAGCGATGGGATCCTGACATTCAATTACGTGCAGAGCCCTTTCTGCGTTGGCAATTGTATTTCTGATACTGGGTCGCTGCCATCGTCTTCTACAGCGTCTTTTTCCTCCTCAACAACTTCCTCTCCTTCGGCGGCGGCGGCTTCTTCTTCTTCGACGACCTCCTCTTCCTCCTCAACAACTCCCTCTCCTTCGGCGGCGGCGGCTTCTTCTTCTTCGACGACTTCCTCTTCCTCCTCAACAACTCCCTCTCCTTCGGCGGCGGCGGCTTCTTCTTCTTCGACGACTTCCTCATCCTCCTCAACTTCTTCTCCTTCTACCACGGTTTCTTCTTCTTCGACGACTTCCTCATCCTCCTCAACTTCTCCTTCCGCCGCAACTTCCTCTTCTTCCACGGCGACTTCTTCAGGGATCCCTGCATCGGCCAACGGACCGACGACCGTAACTGAAGCTCCACCTACTACCGTTACTGAAACAGGGCCGTCCGCGACGGCGACGTCGAGTTCGAAGTCTACGGGCAGTCGCTTGCGTGGTTGGCGTTGTGGTACATGGACACCAATCCTTGTCATACTGTCATATATGGGATGAATGAAAAAAACCCGAGAAAATTTCGAAGACTCTTACGGTATGTAAAGTACGTCTTTCGGGCTTTTGCTATGGTGCTTCATTTCGCGTCTGGTACCTCTTGTTATATAGTGACCTTACGGCATAGTCACGAATACCCTTTGATTTAGAAGCCAAAAGCATCCTGGTCTTCTGCGATTCTTCCTTCGAGTCGAAATCTATCGAGGATCAACTTAGCTCTGTCAGATTTCACCATGTATTTCCTATATCTCACCCATTCAACCTTCTTGGTCTGCCTGTTAGGCGTTAGCACTCCCGCCACACCCAATCTCGACCCTCGCTTCACTAATCCTACTTAATTCATATTATTAGCAAAATATATCATATCAACCTCTATCTCCTTCATCTTCTCTTCGACGGTTATGAATTCTTTATTAGAACGGAAGATTATGGGAGGTACTTTGCAGCTTGCTTCACGGTTGCTGGGATAGGATCCTGAACTTGTATTCTGATCGCAGGGGAGATGTTGAAGAGGAATGGGGGCAGCTATGTGGTGTTGGTCATCTCCGGAGGGGCAAGCTATGCTGTTTGACTGGTGCTCTTTGTTTGGGCTAGATTCAGAGCTGTGGGGTGGGAATGGGGAGAGGAAAATTTATTCTGAGATGAGCAAATGTAGATTGGTATCAGTGTAAATAGTAGGGTATCTATACACATGGAATCCTGATCATAACTCCATCTAGCGCCTGGACATGCATGCAAGGCCCTCAGCTTTCACTCGTCGTCTTCAAGAGATCCCGGCACAGGTGCACCGGGGTTTAGTTGTCGAGGCTGAGACAGACCGGGACTCCCTTGTCGGGCACGAGCAGAAGCAATGCATTGCCCGTTTTGCAAACTAGGCGCACACGGAGTCTGTAACCCTCTCCATCCAATGGCGGGGCCGACTTCTGTCCCTCTCTCGGCCAGGTTCTCAACTCATCTTCTCGTACTCTCGCTCAGCTTCCAGTTCTTCTACATTCTCCACTACCTGTTGTTCTTGGCTGGTGGAGCTGGTTCCTTCCTAGCTGATGCTGCTTCTTTTTGGGCTTGCGCTGCTTTCTCGTTCGCCTCTACCGCTTCTTTCTTAGTAGACGCTTCTTGCTTCTTTGCGGGCTTTTCCTCGTTCTTAGCGGGCCTCTCTTCCTTCTTGGCTGACTCCCCTTCCTCCTTCGCTTGTGCCTTTTCCTTGGCTTTATCCACTGCGTTCTTCTCTATCACCGCATCGTTCAACGTCTCCTCTGCCGGATGCGAAGATGGCTGTCCGTCTTTTCCTGACTTCGACGCCACCTGAGCCATGATACCCTCCACCTTCTTCATCCCCATCGACACCTCGGTCGCATTATCCGCGCGCCGCGAGTAGCACATCCATAATTCGGACTTCGCAATCTGCAAGTCACGTGAATTGTCCCCTGCACTATCAACATCCATCATCGTCTTCTTGGCCTTCTTCAACAAGGCCCAGTAATCCTCCACCTGTTTAGGAAGCTTGGTCTTCTCGAGCTCCACCGCATACTCCTGCGGCCTATTCTCCACAATATCCAACCACCTCCCCATCACCGTTCCCTTACTCTCCGGCTGCCCACAACAATCAACTCCAGCAAAATGCAACGTGAATGCGTCAGTGTCATACGGTTCCCTCGCGAGCCCGAACGCATTCCACCAATCGTGCGGTTGATAGATCACATGTTCCGCATATCCTTCTCTTTCCATTACCCACCATAGAGCGCCTTGGTCGTAATGCTCGAAATGGGCGTCAGGTCGTAATTGGCGCAAAGCAAGAGTTTCCGAGAGCATTTGTACCGACCATTCATGCACACGGAATATTGCCATGCCGGCGTTGAAACCGTTGAAGTCTTTGGTGGCGAGGAGGTGGATGTCGTTGAAGTCAGAGGGGGGAAGGAAGAGAGTCCATGGGACGGCGGGATTGAGGATTATCGTGTCGGCGTCAAACCATCTGTAATGGATCATATGTGTTAGCCACATTGGATGCTTGATAAACACGAGAAGGTGTGAATACGTACACAATCCAACCGGCCCGCTTGCCGTAGGGTTTGGCCATCTCCTCAATGATGAGGCCCAGAATGTAAGCGGGCTTATTGAAGAATCCTGCTTCAACAATATCGTGTCGCAGTATATGCGTAGGCACTCCCCACTGCTCTCCATGCTTGATATGTGTATCTATGCTCCTTTCGTAAATGGCATTGAACCTCTCGGTTTCGTATATCATGGTCGCCTGTCGCACCCTTGGACCCCCTTCATCTGGATCATCGACGATGTCTCCAGAGATATGGTTCTCAGCAATCTCAGGCGTACTGTCCGCAGATAGTTTCGTAGCAGGTGGACTGGCATTGTGTGGGGCTTTCGCTGGAGGGGCGCTCTGTGGGATCTCGGTTGCGGTGGCATTACTTGGCGGTCTGTTCGTGAAGGAGAAGCTCGAGCGAGAAGGCGCATATGGATGAAAGATGTAGAGACTGCCAATGACAGCGAAGAGGAGGATGAGGGCTCGAATAGGTGAGGAAATTTGGGCGATCATGGTGGGCGTCGAGGCGGCCTGGCGTGAGGAGAGTGAGCAGGGATGAGGTGTCGTTAAGGGTAGCTTTTAAACCTCAGCCCACCCCCACGGTAATATTACCGGAGAACGATTAGGCCGACACGCCGGATTAGTAAGGCCCTCCCATAGTAATTTGGCAGCCCTCCTTACCTGTTGCACTCTTCTTCTCCATACCTCGCTGTCGCCCACCAATTTTTTTAAAGCTATCCACAACTCCGCCCCGCCCACTATGACCTCTCAAGAACGCGTCGTTCGCCAGCCCCCGCAATACGGGGGCTTCGAGGATACTCAGGAGGAGCTGAATTGGTACGGCAGCAACCCTGAAGGGCATTAATCGAGATGGTCCTCCGTCAGAGGTTCTCTCGGAAGACGATATAGCCCTGCTGTAGGAGAAGGATAAGAGTAACCCTAGTGATGATGAGTGAAGTCGCGACACGTACTCTGACGCGTCTAGATCGCCGTCGCCACCATTTAACACCCTCTCTACCTCCCACCGCCCCCCTATTAAGCGAAAGGCCTCTATCAGCCTTGATGAGCAGAAAGAGCCGCGAAAGGGGATCAAACGTAGTAAACTCGCGCCTGTGATACCCTCGGAGGTCGCGTCAACAATACTGAAGTTGCCCGTGGACACTCCGAGTACGATGGATTAGGGGACGATATAAGGGAGCGTATTTCCGCCTAGGAGTAGGGAGGATTAGACTAGACTACATAGACAACACCACCGATAAAGTCCTCTTCCCCGTGGAAATCCCCAGCTCCGGTGGCGGCGAGTCTCCTTTCCGCCCTGTATGCCTCGGGAAGGCGGAGAGCCTCCATTGTACGAATAGCCTTATCGGTAACAGCGAGATCTAGCGACGGTGTGATAGTGACAGCGGGGTTGCTACGAGGCCGCGCCTTATTTTGGTGTGACCCCCATACAAATCTGGCGCGGCCTTGTAATCCCGCTACTGGTATTTTTCTTAGCATGGGCTGAGGTTTAAAAGCATCGTCGTTAAGTCCACGGTACGGCCAGAAGTGCGGCGAATTCGGGCGATACAGTCAGGCGAAAAGAAGGTATACTCTATTTGAGCGAAGTCTCGGAGGAAAAGGAGATGAGTTGGGATAAAAAGATGTATGAGCTCGCATGGTGAAAAGTGAAAAGTGGCAGATACATTTCGTTTCGTCTTGTGTAACTGTGTTAAATGTAAGGAGTCGTAAGCAGTGAGCAACAGCAACACCTTTCGTGCGAATTGCGCCGAGTAAAGTAGGTACTTAGGGTTGGTGTAGCCGACAGGCTTGGCTTAAAGTAGCTTAGCATCCAACTCTAAAGTACTTTACTTGAAACAGTAAGGAACACTTTCGAGCCGCATAACCTCGTATTTGCCGAACGAAACTACTGTACAAATACTCCGTAGACTTCTACAAGTATGAAACAGATATCCGCGACTGCTGAATACACTTTCAACGATGCGAACAGATGATACGTCTGGTAGATATGATACGTTTGGTAGATCGGTCCCACTGCAATTTTGGTTTCCTTACGAATATGATGTTTTACTGTTTTCCGGGAAGATAAGATCGCTTAAGGTTTCAACGTCGACGAGCTTGGTATTATTGCCACAGAGCCTTCACTGCCTCCCAAAGCTCCGGAAACATGGCACGAGCGCTGGGCAAGTCTCAGCGCCTGGAAGGCGACGAACTGTAATCAAAATTTCAACTGAAGGTATTGTTCCCAAAAATCCAATGTTGAAGTTTTCCTCCTATGACCTGGTCCATTCAATCTTCAGATTTTTAATTACTTCCCTTGCCACACTCTGTCGCTGCTACTATCGGTACTCGTGCCAGCCCAGTCCACCCTGTCTGAGGACCCGAGCTGGTGCTGGGCTGATTCGACTCATCCACCAGCCCGGCAATGGCCAGGCTACAGATGCTGACCAGATTGTTCGATTGGCCAGTTGATGCTGGGATGGTGCTACTTAGCAGCGCATGCACAGCCCCGTACCATTCGTCTTTGCGCCTGCCGCTTGTGAATACCACGCTTGTCAAGTAGTACACCTGAGAACTTCCGACACAAGTAAGAATCCAACGTTGTCAGGAACCTTCCGTGCGGCAGTATTTGTCGGGCTACGGTATTTGAATCTCTCCTTGGAGATAGACATTAGTGCTTGGACAGTCAAAAAAGCGCTCGAAACTTATCGTACAAGACCATGTAGTTGCATAGGCTACCATTTGATGATCTTCACAAAAGAACGAACCGTCCTACTTGCTCTACTAGCTACCTACTCTAGGTCAAGAACCCATTAAACAAATCGGCGACTTTAAAGGGCTTTCGCTCTAGTGAACTTATTTTATTTGAAAGATCAATAAGATTGAAACGCAGAAAAAGATCTAAGGTGCATTGGGAAAGGGTTCCCTTATACGTACTTATGGCTGTGCTTCGGTCTCTGCAGAATTACCTGAGACACTATGGACTTCTCATACATGAGGCGACTGTTGAAACGCCAGCCCCCTATGCTAGCGCATACCGTGTACTTGTCTAGTCATCTGTATGTATATGACTATTCATACCCCCCATAAATCAATAGTCTAGTATTATTCTGACTCTACTCCACTATCCCTGTATTCTACCGGTCAACAGAGACTGTCTGTGTGTCTTTTTTTTCGGGGGTTTTTTTTCAGCAAGTTTACCTCGAAACATGGCAAATCTGACATGCATCAAGACAAATGCCTTACAATCTTGACTGTTTCTGATAGCAGCCTATCGTTGTTGCAGCATCGTTTGACAGCTGCTTGTTACTGTATTTTGGGCGTCGCTTAGCCAACGTAGCGGAAAGGGATGTGTCGATTAAGCTTTCACAATGGTAGTACAGTGCTTTGCGCACCTGCGACACGTCCGCAACTGACATCTTGATTCTCTTCTCACATACCGGCACCCCTGATAACCCTCGACTCGGCGCAGAAAGCGAGACTTGAAATCGACGGACGGACCGGCGGTATCCCGATTCCGCATCAGAGAGCAAGTGAAGGTTTCTTGTATCTGGACGGACAAAATCAGTATCTAAACCCATCCAATGCACAAAAATGATACATAGCAGGTACCTCCGGATAACATACTGAAGCACAGCAACTATCAAAGACAAAAGATCTGGGGCAGGGAAAAAAGTTCGAATGCGATCAGGGTTCATACTTTGCTGGAGCGGCTTATTTGCTCCTGTCTCTGTGCTGGCTGTCATGACAGCGGATGTGGTTGTTTACATTACCATAAAAAGAGGGAAGAATATCGACAGCTGGTCTGTCCTCGCCTTCCAAGACCATTGAAGAACGTTCAGACACTGACGACGGAGCCAAAGTATGACCACGTTAAAAAAACCTCAACGCAACGCTCAATGCGAACGACCAATTTCCTACGAAGAGATGACTCAACCAGCCCTGCAAATCCTAAAATTCCAAAATATAAATCCTACATCATTCGTCCCCGCAAGTGACTGCTCCAGCCTAGCGTCGCCTTACACACCCTCGGCAACTGTTTTATAGTCGACCGCAAGCAACAACTCATTCAACATCAACTGCGATACGGACCATTTTGACATGTCTGCGGCTCTCATGAGGTTCACCGCATTTACGTTTGAAGACTGCATTACCGCTTGCGCCAGCCACAACCAAAGAGTCCCGAGTCTGCACCCAAGCTCGACTCGTTATGGCGCGAGCTTTGACCACGGCGTAGGCGGAAATCAGGGGCCTAGTTGTTTCTTGAAGGGAATGCAGGTTCTTGCGCCTTCGTCGAGGCCTGGGCTTAGTAGCAGTGCTGTGTTGATTACGACTGAGTGATCAAGAGGAGTGTGTCTCGTAGCGAGGCTTGCCAGGTTTCTTTCAGCGCACAACCCTCTTCAAAAGAGCTTTCCGCCGTTCTTCATGTTTGGTCATTAGATTTGTAACCCTGTTCATTCTGCTGTCCTTAAATGCTGAGGCTTGTTTCTAGACGTGTTGCGATATCTAAGATTTCTATCTTTGTAACTCGCTCCGAGTCAAGTTGGCCCTGGACTTTCCGTGCCAAGCTTTGAAATAGTAAAGTTTTCTTCCTAGCTACACTTGTACGCGAACAGTTCAGCATCACGTGTATTGACCACCTGGCTTTCGTCGCCGTCACGCAGAAACCTTGCTAGAAGTCAACGAGCGTCTTTGAGTCGCACACACTTACAGCTAGGAACTCTAACAGTGCTAATGCACTCGCTGCCCTATATCATGAAACTTGGGTCGTTCGAACACACTTCGGGATCTGTACCCCTCCATGGAAGCAATGGTATCAAAGCAAAAATCTTACAAAGAGTCATATTCCGCTGTTCCCAAGTTTAGCGTGTACTTTAGGGAGCTAGCCAGAACATGCTGTTGCGCCAGGCTGTACATAACGGCGAGACTCCACTTCCTTCCCAAGCGCTGTATCTCCACAGCTTCATGCTTTTCTGCGCATTCTGCGCACGTAATCACTTGCCCCATTACCAGTACGCTTATACGATCCCTACTCTCCGATCTCAGTAGACAGGGTTGGCGGCAAAGGAAGCACTTCGCTCTATCCTGCAACGGCTCCACAAACATTTCGAAGAAACCACTCATCGTGTATGCCAGCATCGTGATATGTTGCTGGTTGGTAGGGCCTATTTCCTTATCGAACTCGCAATTTAGTCTCTTGCGAGCCTCGACGTAGTGCTTTTCACCCGAGCTGAAGGGGCTACATCCAACAAAGGTAGCAGGCATTTGTCGAACTGCGCCACCAGTCTCATTGAACTTGAAATTTCTGGTGATCTCGCGGCCAAAATCTGCTTCCGGGATGGAAGGTTTCATCCAGATCAGTTTATGGCGCGTTTGCGAACCATAAGGCCAAGTGCAGCGGAAGAAGATTGGAACAATGGGATCATATGTCGATCCTGCTAAGACCCTGTCGATGCCGTCATCTCTAGAAGTACCGTTGAGAGCCGTCGTCTGAACTAATGTGCGGACCCTGTTGATGAGTTCGTCGAGATTGCCGAGGGGATGGTCCAGCGAAACCCCTATGGGAATAGCGTTGATTGTTGGGTTCATGTTGGCTGAGGAGGAGCTCATTATCGCTGTCTTCCTTTCCGGTGTTGAGATGGTTCTCAAGGGAATGCGACTCCCTGGAGAAGAGGATAGTACTTTATTTCAAAAAGAGAAGTGTGCCGGAACGTGCGTGTATAATTTGCAAAATCCAACAAGAACAAACAAATCTTCAGATGTGCTGGCCGCTGCAACCAGAAAATGAGGAGGAACGGCAGAAAAGATCATGAACATTTCGATTCCGCGGAGGGAGAAGATCGAATGAGCTTAGAGCGTTACTCTTTCCCTGCCATATGGTGTTGTTTTCTAGCTCCTGTCTGTCATTCGAGATACGGGACATCCCTGACAGACGTAGGAAAGACGCGAACAAGACAGTCAACTCGACATGGAGTAGTTGTAACAAAACTTATTGAAATGCACTCAGAGTAATCTTCGCACATACCGTGCTACTTCTATGGGTACACTTTGGTATTCGGATGCATAAGTACTCGTACACGCCATCCTAGTTAAGAGGTTCGATACTTTTTGGCATGAAATTAGGAATCGTTTCGAAGCCATGGCAAGTACAGAGGTCGGCACCGAAAGTCCTGCACGCGCTAAGAAAGGGTCCAGCTGTCGGATAACGCCCTACCCGGAGGACCACCTGGACAATGCGCTCAGAGCTGCTTCAAGTTTGTATCCGGCGTGACCCCCACTCGAGGGTCTACGCCCCTATCAGACCCCAAAAAGGTCCCTAAGTTCAATTTATTCTAGTTCAGCTACAGGGCTGCCTTCCGAAACTAAGGTAGGGTTGGGCCTGCTACTAGCGCTGTGCAGGACTTTCGGTGCGGACGTCTGTAGAGGACATCAAACCTACAGCCGAAGCGGTTCAGTGGAAGGTAACCTGCCGGTCTTTACCACTTTCTGGACGTGATCACCGAGACGCTGAGCTGACAAGGGTGGCTGGGTTGGGGAAAGTGTACCCGGAAGCCCCGCCCGGTGCTCTCCGAAGCTTGCAGAGTAGAGTAAGCGCCGACCCCCACGTTGCTCGGCGCGTGGAAAAACTTCATCGTCCCTACCACTCCCACTTCACTGTTATGGTCACACACGACACGCAAGGTTCACTGTCGTTGAGCAGCTGGACTGGCTCTTTCGAAGTGTTTCTATTGCTTCGCTCCGAAAACGTCTGAGCTGTGGGAGCGATGGCGAGACAAACGGTCCACATCTTGCATTCGATTTGTCTCGTGAAGGAGGCGATGCCCACATGAAACGAGCTGGCCGCGGAAAAGGTCGTGTCCAAAGAAACGATGGCCAATGGATAAGACTAGCACAGGCTGTGCCGGCGACTCACCCGGGGCTGAATGCAGCATCGAGGCGCTTGTTTAAATCTTGTCACTTCGATCCAATGGCAAGCCAGAGAAGTGCTTGACTTATCGTTGGTTCCGACACAAAAGAACCCTTGGTCAATGCACTCTCTTCTCCCGTATCTCCGTCGTTGACATGAGTGAGAACGCACATGCATAAACGTAGCGCTGAGTCCATCAGCTGTGGGGTTTCGTGAATGCACGGGGTCGTCTTGAGCACCGGATACGGCAATGTTCGTCTCAAGTTCGATTCTGTGTGACAGAAGTACGCTAGATGTGCAAGGTTATTGGTATGAGTCTGGAAAATGCGCTGGATGTAGCATTTTTTCGGTTACATTAGTCGCTTCAGCATCAGCACTAGCGAACAGCAACCATCAGATCAGCATGAGTTACATCGGGGTCTTTAGGGTCTCTGCCATTCTCTTAAAACTGACATGACCAGGATTCAAGGCAACCCAACAGCCGTCTTAGATTCACAGTATGAAGACCATCAGTCGAGAGAGAGGACGTGAGATCGTGGACGAAATCAGAGAGAACAATGGCGGCATCAGTGCGGCAGATCGCGCCAAGACACCTGTAAGCGTACTTAGATCTCTCGACAGTGTACGAAGGAAATTGGGGTCTGCTACCCAGACGTAAGTTTCTTCCCGCGAAGCTCTGGGCCTCTGGTGCTCACGAATTTTTCAGTCTCGCTACCAATCTGTATTCGAAAGACACGCGATTCGTGTTCGAGCTTATTCAGAATGCCGAGGACAACGATTACACAACAGTAGAAGCGGCTCGCGACGAGCCGCTTCTTACATTCGGACTACATCCAGACAAAATTATCATTGATTCCAATGAGGATGGATTCACGGAAGCAAATGTCAAAGCAATTTGCAGTACTGGAGAGAGTACCAAAAATATCTCCAAAGGCTACATTGGGGAAAAGGGAATTGGCTTCAAGTCAGTCTTCAAGGTTGCTTCTAAGGTCCATATTCAGTCCGAGCCATTTTCTTTCTTCTTTGAACACAGACGTGGCGATGGTGGCTTGGGAATGGTCACACCAATCTTCGAAAATCACCATGGGATCCCTTCAAACATTCGCACTAGGATGACCTTGACACTTGCCAATCCGTCCGAAGCCGCGAAACTCGCACAAGAGTTTTACGACCTACCCGAGACATTGCTTCTGTTCCTGAGCAAGCTCAAAACAATTAAAATAACCAGGTTCGATGCACTTGGCACCGCGTCCGAGACCACGTACTCGAAGCAAGTCGACCTGATACAGCACCGAGCGACCTTGACAACACTCTCGGTCTCCAACGGGATTGCCGATGGATCGAGGCGTAGAGTGGTGTCTACTTATCAGATCAAGTCTAGACTTTTAAATAATCTTCCCGAACACCACGCCCGTCTTCACTCCAACCAAGCGGAAGTGGTACTAGCTTTTCCTTTAGACAGTCAATCTATACCTATCATTCAACAGCAACATGTGTTTGCTTTTCTACCCATCCGTCAAGTTGGTTTCAGCGTGAGGAACCACCTTCCTGAACGAGATCATAATTGCTTACATTCCTCAGTTCCAAATCCAATCCGATTTCATTACCCAAGCAAGTCGAGAGGACGTTGAAAGAACAGATTGGAATGAGGTCATACTTAGCGGTGTTGCAGAGACCTTCCGAGATGGAGTTCTCGACTTTTGCGGCCATCCTACGCTCCAATACCAGTGGATGAGATACCTGCCAAGCGAAATGATCTTCGAACCCTTCTGGGCACAGCTTCTTCCGAAAATTGTAAGGCTTTTGAAAGAGACACGTGTCTTGCGACCCTGGAGTGGAGGTGCCTTGAAACGTCCAGACCAGCTGAAACGAGTTCCAGACTACTGTCTCGACGAGGCAGGTAATCCTCTGTTCAAAGACATGCCCGATGAAGTATACCTTTCGGCAGGATACGAATGGGGTGACTTTCAGTTACTAGATAGACTCGCAGTAAGAAAGCTCAGTCTTTGGGATATCTCGACCAGAGTTAACATGGATCTCAATGATCCCTCCTCGAGATGGAAATCATCTACGGCCAGCGATGAATGGGTTACGCGAAGTGCATCTATGCTCATGCGGCCGTTTTCCACGCAAGGATCCGTCGCCGAGGCTACCGGAGTCAGGGCATTGCCTTTGATTCCCCTGCAAAACGGATCTTGGGTCTCGGGCGACTCGGGCACAATTTTCCATCCAGACAGCGACCGCGTCCCGGTCCCAACAGACCTCGGTTTACGACTTGTGGATCCTAAAGCACTCAGGAATTCCGCCCGAAAAGCTCTGTTCACGCACCTTGGTCTGCGGAATTGCGCTCCCAGAGACGTAATTGCATTGATCCTCAAGAAGTATAACACGTGGGGCAATATCTCTCTGCAATCATCGGTCTCGCACCTTCGGTATCTGTACTGGCATCTCCCGAAGAACGAACGCGATCTGCCAAAAACCATCTACCTCAAAGACCAGGAGTCACGGCCAGTATACCGTACTTTCGTCACACTTGGCAGAGAAATCATCGTGGATGATCTGTACTTCGAGACAGACGAGAAATACGATGCCAAGCGGCTTACGATGCAGGAAAAGGTTGGCAGCAAGATCATCTATCCTGGATTTCCCCTCCATTACATCAACCGCGCATACATAGATGCAATGCCATCCGACGCCCGTCGCTACGATAGCTCCTGGGAAGGCTGGCTCGGAGACTCAGCAGGTGTGCGATGTATACCTAGACTTGTCAAGCCGTCCACTCCTACAGCTCTCTCGGATCTCTTTCTCTACATTTTAAGATGGCGCAAAGAGGTGGTGGGAACGTTGAAAGCACATTGGGCCTCATACAAGGATTTGATCACCCCTCCCGTGATTCGTGCGCTGCGCGAGGCTGAATTTCCTTGTGAAAATTCGAAGAAGGCACCTTTACAAACTACCTATCTACCTCTCTCGAAACTAACGAAGAGGTGCAGAAATTTCGACGTTAACCGAGAACTGCCATTCTTAGTTTTGCCTAGTGAGACAGACGGTGGATCTCAAGAAGACTGGAATTTCTTAGAAGTGTTCGATGTTGGTCGTGAAACCAATACTAGATTCTATCTCGACGTCCTTCGCTACTTTGTGCGCACTCATCAGAGCCCCAGCGAAGCCTCAAGAAATATCCTGCTCAAGATCTACGAGGCAGTTGAAATACACAGTAACGCCGAGGACCGTGAAAAGATTAGGTCAGGTCAGGTCTTGATGTTTGTAATTGTTTGTACTAACATTTTTTCAGCAAGGCCTTTGCTGAAGAGAATGTCATCCACGTAACAGCAAGAAGATGCCAACCTGCAATGTGGACAGAGCCTAAGAAGTGCGTCTGGAAAGCGCCTGAATTTCTTACCGAGTATCATTCGCTCTCGAACCAAGAAGGGTTTCGGGACAATGACAGACTGAGGCATCTTTTCCAAATCATATTGAATATTAGAGATGCGAACTGGATCTACTACTTACACCAAATCCAAGTGCACAAGGCAAAGGGACTCCCCCCAAATGACATCCAGGAAATATATCGACATCTTTATTTGGAGGTGGAGGGGGATGACTGGGAACACGTGCGGTAAGCAGTCTTGCACAATTGGCGTTCTGCTACTGACTGCGTCTCTATTACCAGCCAGCGCTTTAGTGATAGACATTTGATTTACGAACCTTCTGGACGAAATTGGCATTCACCTGCCTCTTGCCTGTGGACAGATGACACCCGGATATCTGACAAGGTGGCTCTAGGTAGGCACTACCCTAAGCTTCAAGCTTTCTTCGTCCAGCGCTTGGGAGTCGAAGAGCCCAATATCGATACGTACATTGCCGAGCTACAGCTCCTGACGGCGGGCGATCAGTCCCCACCAATGGAGGATGTGAAGGGCTTGATCAAGCAGATCAACTCTTTTGGGCCGCAAGCGGGAGCTCTGGACAGACTGAAATCGTCTAACGTTCTGCCTGTCAAAGGTTCAGATGGTCAAACGCGCCTCAAAAAGACTTCCGATGTATTTGCGATAGTTGACCGAACCGGATATGGTTCTGCATTTAGAGACAAAGTACCAATCCTGGATTTCGAGATAGAAGACGTTCGAGAATTACGGCCAACCATTCTAGCGTTGAATCTGGAGGATAGATACATGTCTCGGGTGGTCGTAGAAAGCTCGACAGTCAAAGATTCTTCGAGGAACATGAAATTGAGTAATCACGTCCAGAACAGAGCATATGCGCTTCTACGGTATGTCTTTCCGCATCGTACCTTTCCATCCCGGAGTAACTCACTCCGTGCAGATGTGCTTCTTATTACGGAAGCCGAAATTCGTCCTTATACCGCAAGATCCAAGCTACGGATGTTTATGAGAGCGATGGAATCTCCAAAACCATTACACTTACGCTCAAAGGCCTCTGTATAGCTGTCGAGGGAGCAAAAGGTATAGTGCACATTGTGGAGGACGATCAGCAAATGCGATTCTATGTGCCGAGAAACAGGGAAGACCGAGAGCTATCTTACTGCACAGAGTTACCAGAGAAACTGGCTGCTCAATTAGGCATGAACGATATAGCAGCTATCAGGGTTGTTGGAGATATCCTGACGAAAAGTTTGCCTGTGCTTGAGAAAGTGCTTGACCACCATGGCATTGTGCAAGTGGCAGGAATAGAGCCTGGTCCACAGACGGTCTCTCACGATTCATTGTCGGACGAAGACGATGAGCAATCAGTAAGTCATAGAGCGACAAATCAGCCGGTGCATGCTCCATCAACCCCAGTGAGGCATGGGTCGACGGAGTCGGCGTTTACTTCAAGCTCAGCTCCAAATTCCACAACGCGCGCAGGGTCGTCGTCGTATGCGGGAAGCGCTTTGACCCCGCAATCATCGCAGGCAAATACGAGATTCTCAAGCACCCCTAGGTCAGGTTTGTCACCATTTCCCGAGAGAAGGAGGGATTATACAACGCCAGAGATATCCACTAGCGGCTATGAATATCGCGCCCTTCTTGACCGCGTGATTCGTGCAGCAAGCCGAGCTCCATTCCCCAGGCCTGGTATGCCCTCGCCAGAGGTAGCCTCAGACTCGAATGACGACACTCCCTTCGCGTTGTCAGATACAGTGTTTGGAAGTCGTTCGGATAGCAAGGTCAGCCACGACGTTAAGATTGGCGCCGCAGGAGAGTTATATGTAAGTCAATCGCGCTTTGCCTATGTTCTTACATCCCGAGAAGACTGATCTTGCGTGATCTAGGCTTTCGAGTTTCTACTCAATTTGAATCTGCCAAATCTAGACCGAAGTAATTGGAGAAGCACCATTCGCAAAGAAGTTTGCGTGCACGAGAAATACAGGGACATGCCCGCTTGGAATGGTAGAGAAACTGCAGACATCACGTACGAGGACCAGGTTACGGGAAATGCGGAAACGACACTTAAGCTCACTCAGCTCTTGTTTGAACATGGCCATCTCCCTCACGGCCTACTCGTCGAACCTGAGGGTCCCGGGATCAATTACTACTTGGAAGTGAAGACGACAACACTCGGTTGTGGAACCCGCCTCTTCGTCAGTAGAGCACAATACCAAAGGGTCAGTGGTACATCCCTGCTATGGGTGGAAATAATTTACGCTGCATATACCTTGGATAGGAGAAAAAGCTAACCACTTGGTTCCAGATGCACGAAATGACCTTGCGTCCCGGGCTTCCGGTCAAGAACATCTACGTGATATTGCGAGTCTTCAATCTGGGTCAGGAGGATATGGGCATGCGGATCTATGTTGACCCGGCGGCAATGGAGCGAAATGGCGAGCTGGAATTTCAGGCGGAGACATATACGGTGATTCCGGCAGTAGAAGAAGAATTATAGTGAGCGAGCTCTCTGTGGGTATGACAAATTGTCTGTGCTGTTGTGGCGTTCTGTACAAGCCAGGACCAGGTCGACTTCTTTTGAAGCATCTCCTTCTTTTTCTTGTAGCAGCTATTGATTCATGAGTTCTTTCATGCTTCATTATCGGCTAGCGAACATTCAAGAAAGACCCTTCAATTCAACTTAAAGAGAGACACAAAATAGGCTGAACGCAGGCTTACAAATGGCATAAAAGGGACCACACGTGGAAGCATGGTTACCAAAGTGCCAGTACAAGTCGGTGGACGAGGGAAGCGAACTTTTGACAATAGGCGAAAGGGAGGAGTGGGGATTGTCTACAAGAACGTCACACGTGCAGAAATGGGAATACTCAGATTTTCCTAATCATACGCAATACAGGCTCCAACGCTGCCGATCGCGTCGACGGGCATGAGTTTCTATCGCGTTTTCTTGATGATAAGTGCAGACAATCAAATGCGCCCACAGCCAAGATCAGGCCTCCATCTGGCAGTGCCCTAATTTTGCAATTCCAACTCGTACCCACTCACCTCGGCCTACATCAAAGCAACTCATATCTCACCTCAGCTCTCACTCGCTCCGATAACTCCAACAAATGCCTCCTCCCAACTCTCGAGTAAATCAGAAACCAAGCAAACCAAGTCGCCTCATCGGCGGTAGGATCCGGCACACGCTGCCCTTTCTCAAAGTAACAATGATACGAGGACACGCTCCGCCACAAGTCGGGACAGCGTTTCTTCAACCCATCAGCCAACATCGTCCGCAGCAAGTACTCCGCCCTTGTCGAGTGTGATGAACACAACGTTGCGCCAGTACTGTGGTCCAGCACAGAAAGGCTGTGAAAGCGCTGCGGTCCTCTCCGCGTCCCCCACTGCAATCAACAAGTGGAGAGCGGCATAGCTGATACCGTAGGTACTATGAACTGCTCTGGTAACCATAAGGCCTGGAAGACGCGGATTGACTTCGATGAGGAAGCTGTTCGGCGCTTCGGTAAGGGATTCACTTGCTGCGGTCTGAAGATCCAGGACGCCGTCGGATACCCCGTACTGCATGCTGGAATCGCGTACGCGAGCTTCCACATGGGACACCCCGGATCGGAAACCAAACTTGAGTAGCGTTTGATGCAAAGACCTTTGGACCATCTCCAGTTCAGCCGCTGGAAGGCCGGAAGGGTAGAGCACTGCGCTCGCTTTGAAGACGGTGGACGTTCCAGCCTCTTCCCGGTCGCCCGCTTTGGGGAAGTCGTCTGCGCCTTCGACGAAGAGGACCTCACCATCCTGCAGAACGAAATTGGCATCGATTTCAGGTCCGTCACAGTATGGCTCCACGCTGACTGCGTTGACGCCGGTTAGGAGTTGAAGACTCGGTCGACCGGCTTCTTGCAGCTCTCTGTGATCCCGTTGACATGTCGAATGGCACGAAATGCTCCCTAAGATGGATGGCATCGGGTAGTTCAAGCCAATGACCAGGCGTGTCAAGTACAATCATCCCAATGCCAAGCGCTTTGGCAGAACGCAACAATGGCTCAGTGGTACTTCTATCTCTGCCGTCGACGTAGGCTAACATCTTTCTTGTAATGGGCTGCGGCGTCATCCATGGAAAGGAAAGCCTGTTGTCAAGTTCCGCTTCTAGTTTGCTTAGCTCAGACATAGCACATCCATGTCGTGGAACATTGACCAAGATGCCTCCAACAACATCTGATAAAGACCGTCCCACTGCACTTGTTCAGCACTTTGAGACCTCAGGTATTGTCGTGGCTGGCAGAAGCTCTGGACTTTCTCGACCCCTTCCCATTCAATCAGACGTTGCTCTAGAAAATCGGATTTGGAAAGATAGCCGTCAGCCCGAGGCACAATCAGCTTCACAGCTGCCTCGCGGCCCTCAGGTGTTTCCGCCGCAACGGAACACCAGAAGAGGAAGAAGTTGATCGCTGCAAAAGAACTGTCACCGTTACAGCCCCTGTCGTCTTGGAAGCAGGTGAGGTGGTCCAGTGAAGCCTTGGAGGCATTTGAGACAGAGATGTCTGCCTGCGACTTGTCATATTGAAGTCTCGCATCTAGAATGATATTGACACTCCTAAACATCCTTTGTGATTCGCCATCCTTCGTGTCGCAGATCGCCCCGAAACAAGAGATGGGGACTAATTGCGCGTTCTGTCAGCCACTGACCCGTCCGTCGTCCAGTGAAGACCCTACCTGTCTGACCATGTATTGGGAGCTCAAATCATGTTGTACGAGCCATCGTCCTATATGAATGCAATAAGCAAAGCGTGCGGTGAACGACAATGCTAGCGAGAAGACGTGAGGCCGCAGTGATTTTCCGGTATATGTGCTCATATTCGCAACATTCTGCCTTAGTGAATGTTCTCAATCGGCGGATCTGTCGATCGCCGAGTATGTCCTTCGAAGTCTAAAAGTGCTGTGCCACCTTCTATGGCATTTACCAGAGTGGCAACAGACGGCAACTATGAGGTTGAACCAGGTATAAGTCACAGAAAAGTCATCCTCCGTATTGCCGACTTGTAGTAGATCCAGTCCCAGAAATCTGCAATAATCGTCCCCACAGATCGAACATGGTTGAAAACGTGGGCTGTGCCGGTGACAATGATCAAAGTCTGGCGGTATCGAGCCGCAATGGCAGGAATCATCACGAGGTCGAGAAACAGAGAGTAACATCTCTGAACCCACGGATGGTGGTTCCTCCGCCTGGTTGCTACTCTCAGGCTCTTTCTTTCTTATTTTCAGTACCAGGTTCGTCCAGCGTCACCGCATCAACACTCAAACCATGACTGACCCCAAAAGCTGCCAAAACATCAGCCTTCTGAACAGCTTTGGCGTCTACCAAGCGTACTATTCCCCCGCCTTTCTAAGCAACAAGTCTTCGTCGGCAATATCATGGGTTTGCACGATTGAAGCTTTCCTCCTGGAGATCATAGGAGTGATCATCGGCCCTATCTTTGACCGTGGCTACTTCCACACACTCGTCTACACAGGGGCCTTCCTGGTCGTCTTTGGCATGATGATGCTGAGTCTATGCTCTGCGTACTCTACTGGCAGGTCGTCTTAACGCAGGGGGGTTGCGTGGGTCTTGGCAGTGGTTTGATCTTCGTGCCGAGTGTAGCCGTGGGGACTGCTGCGTTTAGTGAGAAGCGTGCGATTGCGGTGGGCATTGCTTCGTCGGCTTCGAATCTAGGTAAGTGGGCCGCCATCGTATCTATACTCTACGTCGCTTGAAATGACGTAATTAACCACGCTGCACCCAAATCTAGGTGGTATCATATATCCCATCACATTCCGTCAGCTGCAACCCAGAGTCGGATTTGCGTGGGCCACGCGAACAATCGCGTTCATAGCCCTTAGGACATTCATCATCTCGTTCGCGGCACTGCGCGACCATAAAGTCGCCGGCAAGGAGCCACGCGCACTGATCGATGTCCGAGCTTTCCGTGAGCTCCCTTTCATGATATACCTACTAGCCCTCTTTGGTCTATACGCCGGATACTTCGTCCCGCTCTTTTACGTCGCCACATACGCTTCCACCCATCTGTATACCACCTCGGATTTTGCTTTCTACCTCACCGCCGTCACGACCGCCGGCGCTTTCATCGGAAGGCTCTTTCCAGGTTTGTTCCTAAAGCCCTTCGCTGCCATCGAGACCCTCGTGCTGGCATCGGCAGCAGCAGAGATCTCGGTGCTCGCGTGGGTGGGCGTCTACAACCTCGCGGGCATCATCGTCTTCTGTGTCGTGTTTCGCTTGCTATCTGGAATCATCATCACACTGACGACCGTCATGGTCCCTGTGCTATCGCCCGGAACGCTACAGGGTAAGGTGGGGACGAGGCTGGGCATGGCATATGCGGGATGCGGGATGGGGGTTCTCATATGTAGTCCGATCGCTGGAGCGGCTTCGCGTACGACGGTTGGAGACTTCCGCGGAGCCCAAATCTGGGGCGGTGCGACGCTGTTGCCGGGCTCGGCTTTGTTGGTGTATCCTTGGTCAATCGTGAAGAGAAGGAAAGAGTGATAGAGAGTGTGGAGACGAGAAGCTCAATGTCTGCCCGGATGGGTTTGTCGGAGCGGATAAAGTATGATGGTTTGTGGGCTCTGTAGGTGCCTGCATACTTTTGCGCTCTTCTGAGCCTTCCGGTCGTCTGCACACGGCGCTCCTTTCTCTTTCTCCCGCATCCCTCCAACTGTTTATCGAAGAGATTAACAGTTGAAAGGTTAAAAGGTTGCATGTGGCCAAAGTCTGCGCTGTAGTCCCCACACGTCTTCTAGGTTAACGGAGGTCCTCGGATGCAGTTCTAGACCATTCGACAAGAACCTGTCGAAATTTGGCCCCCACGCGTCCCAGCCACCGTGTTTTTCAGCCACCTGATTTTGTACTGTACTTAGGATCTGGCCCCGGGAGGTTTTGGAGAATTAAATCCATCTGTTCTACACAAAACATACCCATACCTGATATTCTAAAAGAACCACCAAGATCGTCAACTGGAAACATCAAAGAAATCCCGCTCTCATTGCAAACAAGTCTTATATTCTTGATTGCGCAGCTGCACGACAACATTCTCCCTGCAATTGACTACACAGGGATCGTTGCAGGGACGAACGGCCGCTATCGCTGCTACAGAGACGAACACGGGTAATATCATGGACAAAGTCCTTGTAGGGCCGTGGTTAGGGCGGTGCTAATTGCCACTCTACCACGGGAGCTATGATTGGCACAGCATCGTTTCTGCAGCAGGGGTTTTAGAAGCGCTACTAATGCAAGCCGTTGAGGTAGCCTCCCGCACTACCATAAAATCGCAGGAGGTTATCCATACCGAAAACCATCTCGGGAAGGGAACCTTTCTTTATGAGACCTCGGTCATTCCGCAATGCATGAGACATTCTGTGAAGCAGCAGGAGATTTCATAAAGTGTAGTGCTGTTTTGTGATTCATCTGTTCGACCTCTTCACGGCTTGGTACGGAACAAACATATGCAGGTCGAATCCTACGCGGGGTAAGTGTTAAAGGTATCCTTCCGTTGCTTAGCTGGGTAAGTGTTCAAGATATCTTTCGGTTGTTTGGCTGGGTAGTGTTAAAGGGATCCTTCGGATGCTTAGCTCAGTCTGTTTGTTCAACGTGTCGGCCAGACTTCTTGTTTTTCCCTTTTCAAACTCGGGTTTTTTTGTATGTAAAGCTTTGCATTTCACCTGATCTTTCTTGTATGCAAATTGTTTCATAGAAGAAGATATTCCTAATCCCGAAGGCATTGCCTTCTTTACCGATAGACAGCAGGAAAAGATGTTGATTTCACTTTCCGTCCTTGCGATAGGCTTAGCCTACCTCTGCCACACAGCTTTCGCATCAACAAATCAGTGTCGTTGTTATCCAGGAGAAACCTGCTGGCCGTCTCCAGCAGAGTGGGCAGCACTTAACAGCTCCGTTGGTGGGAGACTAGTTGCTACCGTTCCGCTTGGTTCACCATGTCACGACCCTACTTACAACGCTACCGTTTGCAAAATTTTGCAGGAGAACTGGGTCTGGCCGCAGGAACAGTGAGTCTTGGAGTACCGCGATTTGAAAGTATCCTGAGAGTAGCAGTTACGTGTCATCTTCGTCTGTCATGGCACCCTTCTACGCCAATCAAAGCTGCGACCCTTTCACGCCGGAGTCTCGGCCTTGCACCTTGGGCAATTACGTAGATTACGCAATCAACGTCACCGAGCCCTCCGATGTAGCCAAGGGAATCGCATTCGCAACGAAGAACAACATCAGGCTCGTCATCCGCAATACAGGCCACGAGTAAGTATTCCCGCAACCACTCCCACCCCCAATCTTAACCCCAATCATCCTAATACCACTCAACAAAGCTACAACGGAAAGTCAACCGGCGCCTTCGCCCTCGCGATCTGGACCCACTACCTCAAAACCATCTCCTTCACCGACTACAAATCCCCTTCCTACACCGGCAAAGCCATCAAAATGGGCGCCGGCGTCCAAGGCTTCGAAGCCTACGCCGCCGCACACCGAGTCGGACTGTCAGTCACCGGAGGCGAATGCCCGACCGTCGGCCTCGCGGGCGGATACACGCAAGGAGGCGGCCATTCGGCCTTAGCGTCCAAGTATGGCTTAGCGGCTGATCAGACGCTGGAATGGGAAGTCGTTACCGGAACCGGGGAGTTCGTGAGAGCCAGTCCGGGAGAGAATGCGGATCTGTATTGGGCGCTGAGTGGAGGGGGAGGGGGCACTTACGGTGTCGTTTGGTCGCTGACGTCGAAAGCACATGTCGACATACCCGTCTCGGGTGCCAATCTCACGTTTTCGAGCGAGGGTATATCGACAGATACGTACTACGCGGCCCTGACGGCCTGGCATGCGAATCTGCCCCGGCTCGTAGACGCGGGCGCGATGACGGTCTACTACGTCACCAGCGCAGCTTTCACCCTCACGCCTTTCACGGGGCCGGGTATTTCGGCGTCGAGGGCCAAGGAACTCCTGCAGCCTTTCATCGATGAGTTGAATCGGCTGGGGATCGAATACAACATGACGGGCCCGACGGAATTTCCTACGTACTTGGATGAATTCAACACGTTTCAGCTTCCAATCGAGGTCGGCACCGCGCAGTACGGCGGCCGTTTGATTCCGCGCTCGGTCGTTGAGAATGATACTGATGCGCTCACGGCTGCAATACGAACAATCAATGAGCAGAATTCAGCGCCTTTATTTTGTGGCATAGGGCTAAATGTAAATATGAGTGTGGCGGGGGATGTAGACAATGCGGTTCTGCCGGCTTGGAGGGATACGTTGATCGATGCTGTCATTACGACGTGAGTATAGTCCAAACCCGGGTTGAGCAAGGCGACCGTGGGGAACGATGGGGCTGACTTTGAGAAACAGGCCTTGGAATTTCACAGCGCCGCTTTCGGATATGGTGGAGTTGCAGGAGGAGATGACGGATGTGCTATTGCCGCAGTTGGAGGCGATTACGCCGGGGTCGGGATGTTATCTCAACGAGGTATCCCGTCCTTTGTCTCACCGCGCATCCCTCACCAGGTATTGTGTAAAAAGACGCTGATGAGCGTGCAGGGAGATCCTTACCAGCCTAATTGGCAAGAGACTTTCTACGGCGCGAATTACCCGCGTCTTCGCTCGATCAAAGCTAAGTATGACCCTCATGACATCTTCTACGCTACCACGGCCGTTGGGAGTGATGAGTGGGAGATTGAGAGCCCGGGAAGGCTGTGTAGAGTGCCAACTTGCGAACAAGTAGGAAATGTTCAGTAGGTCAAACGCAAAGATGGAGATCCATGCCGACCTGGAAGAGCGTCTGCGGACGGACGAAACGTGATGGACTTTACCGGTGCTGAGGGGCCACGAATAATGATGACAATTGCTAGCAGCACGGGCAGTGAGTGTTTAGTGAAATGCTCAATAGTCTTTCCAAGCATGCAAGATCACTGGTGCCGAGGCTGCACTGTCTGGAAGTTAGTCTACCACATTATCTGCAGCATGTGCATGAAAGACCGCCCGGGTCTCTGTAGTTGCGTGAGCTGCGTTATGTGGCCACATTGTTCGAGGATGCAGGAGTTTGAGTCGTAAGCCCATGCCCGTAGCGTCGTTGTAGTTGACAGAAAAATGTTCCTAAACCGAGAGCTCTAATTGGCCAAGTCTGTCTTCTCAAGACAGAGGTTGCAGACCCCTTCCGCCCATGTGTGAGTACTACTTCAAGGGATCTGGATTGGAACCGGAATGCTCTATCATACAGAAATCGTTGCCAGTCCTCTTGGCGCATGATGTGACGTAAGTCATGCTTGTCAACTTTCAGTATGCTAATACCTGCACTCGCGGCGAGGACCTGCCGTACGCAATCCTTGTCATCGGAGCACAGGGCCAGCATGTAAAATGCTGTTCTCTGGTCCGCTCTTGGTGTTGATAACGCATCGGACTACGTCCTTGATGAGGAGAGGAATATGTCAAAGCCGCGTTACTTGGCCAGTCTTCCTCTGCTATCGTATAGATGTCCGCGTCGTGATCTGTAAGTAGTTTCGCAATGGATGTATCAGCTTGGCGGCAAAGCAAGTTGAAGACAAGTACCGTGGCATGGCTGACCCCAGTTGAGCCTTGTGCCAAGAAATGTCTCAACGTGTGTTATATCCTCTTTTAGATGAAATTTCCAGCAGACTGGGGTTCTCTTGGACGTCAAGCTAGATTTGGATCTAGGGGAATAGAAGGTGCGAAAGTTTGGAGATCTGTCAGGCGAAGAAATGGCAAGCTGCATGCACACTGAACAGTCCCCGCAACAAGACGGCTGAATCCGGTAGCAACGTCATGACATTCATTTCCACGAGCGAACTGGCAGAGGCTCAGTTGAAAAGTAGGGTGAAAAGTCTCAAATTTGTTGATAAACAAAAATGTGGATTATCCGGATTTCAAATGTGACTGCTCCATACAGGAGCGAAATGATAGAAAATTTGGGCACGAGCCGCAACACGTTTATCAAATCTCTAGCGGTTAGTGACCGATGGCGTCCTGGCGAGGGACGTCATCCCAACCTCCTCATGTGACAGCAGAATCGTCCAGAAACCCTCAGGAATGGCTTTCGACGAACTCCGCTGCAGTGGACCTGATTGATCGCGGTATCTTCCCTAGTCCTCAAGTAATGCTTACAATCGTGCCTCTACTGAGTTGATCATCCTCCTTCTCCTTGTGTTGATCACTCCACTCCCTTCGTCCGCCCCTCCTGTTCCTCCCGTATTTTGCGGACAACTCGCGCTCACCGAGCTTGCTGCCGGCCCATCTCTTATCACTGGCGCTGGCATCCATAGGCCTGTGCTCTCATCACAACAGACAGTCGCGTTTGGTGCATACACTGCATCATTGCAGAAACCCTGCAAGGTGTTGAGATCAGGCGGTACTGGTACGGACGGGGGGATTTCGGAATAGATTGGTAGTGTAGTATTGGATTCGCTACAGTTGGCGCATATTTCTAGTAGGTGGCGCAACTCGTCATGTGGGTTTTGCATATTGGGAAAGTTGGTGCAGCCAGCCTGCACGGCTGCCAAGCGTGGAAAATATTAGCGAGATTGCTGCTTCTCAATGGGAAGATACGTTAAGTGCTCACATGCATAGTAGAGGGCGTAATTTGGCGGATGCTTCAGGGACTCCGAAACATTCAGCGCAGAAGCGTCCGTAATAGTGACAACCATATCGCCAGAAACTCGATGATAAAGATGCACCAGATTGCCAACAAGAAGAGCCTCCTGGTTTTTGAGTAACCGATCATCGTTCGGGGTTAAAGTATTCGCTACCACTAGCGGACAATCAGATAGCCTTGCTTGTTTCTTGATTGTCCAAAACAACGGACAGAGAGGCATCAACTCAGTCTGCATCCAACTCATAAGTGGGCTGTTTGGCGCATGCATGCAGTGTTGGTAGAGGAGGTCGGTTTCTGGGACGTTGTTGGCGCATACAAAGGTTGGGTGTCGTATAGTGATGGGATTGATATTGCGGCCTTGGCCGCCCAACGCGACACTAGCACCAACGGCCATTCTCTGATAAACTCGCAGTATTTTTGCTTTGCTCGAGTCGTCCTTGAAAAACGCGCTGTAACCATGCGTGGAAGCGGTGCCCAGCTGGAGGTCTGCAATCACTTTTTGTAATCCATTGTACACCTGTGGCAGAAGGTCTTGCAGCTTGGATGCTTCGGAGTCAGGCTGTCCGGAGTTGCACAGATGGATGAGATAGTTGCCGCTGCTGACCGTGTCCTCAGCACCGACTGAATGCAAGAGGGCCAAAGCGAAGAGCAATAGTGATAGGGGCTTGAAAAGCATTGTAGCGATGGTTTAGAATACACATCCCCGCCCTGTAAGCAACGCAGAGATCGAATTTCCGTCTCTCCCTTGATTTGAGGGAAATCTTCGAGGGAAAGTTGGGTGAAAAAAATATCTGAAGTTCTCATTTAAATCAGACGCACAGACAGGTCGGATTAGTCGACTAGCAGCAAGCAATGATGCTAAGTGCTTGAAACGTCGGAAATATCAATTTCTTGCAAAAAGCCAGAAGTATATTGCCGCAGGCGACAGCCTCCACCAATGCTATTGCCTCTCATGTACGGGTTGCATTACGCAACAACAATAACGAACGCTACAAAATGTATACCTACCGAGAGTTTCGCTTACCTTGTTTCTCACGAACAGCCGATCTGTACGAATCGGTGGGAAATGACGCGCCTACCCAATGATATCATACGGCACGTACAGGGGCGTACTCCTTGCATAGTCCTTTAGTGGTGTATCATTGGGATATCTTGTGACTTGAAAGTATCAGAACAGATTTGAGATCTCTGGGTTTCGTCCCAATTTCAGCGACAGATGACCCAGATGGCGTAATAAAAGACGTGCTTCCAAGGTTATGTACTACAGTATAACCCAAGCCAGCGTAAAGCTACCCCAGACCAGCATTGGTGCATGACGTGCCGCGTCAGGATAGGATTGAAAAGATATCGACAGTATCTCGGAGAGGGTGAAAAAGGTGATAATGTTCGAGCAGTTGCAGCTAGAGCCGTTTTGGCATAGCGCGGTAAAAATGTCGAAATTTGCCGAGCTTCCGACCTTTCGAAGCTTCCTCTCTTCACCCATTTGACCGCATCTCACATCCTGCAATTGCTTCAATCCTTCCACTCAAACTAAGCTCGACATTACCTGTATACATTATGCTTGCTTCAAGAACTATGCTTGCCTCTAGGCCTATTCTCGGCGCTTGCCAGAGGAGAGCTTTCTCAGCAACAGTCAGACAAGTACGAAGCTCCTACAGCTCCGCCAGCCCCAATTGCTGCAGCTCAACCCCCGAAAACTCATCATGGCACTGACAGTGCTCGTCAGGCATCCAAAGTCACCGTTCTAGGTGGTGCGGGGGGTATTGGACAGCCACTATCCTTGCTGATGAAGCTGAACCCTCGGGTCACCGAGCTTGCCCTATACGATATCAAAGGCGGACCTGGTCAGCAACAGAAGCTATACTCTATGGATCACCGCTGATCTTGAGGGCAGGTGTCGCCGCTGATATTGGCCACATCAACACCAAGAGCGTTGTTACCGGCTACCAACCCGATGCCGATGGCTTGAAACAAGCTCTCACTGGTGCAGAAATCGTCCTAATTCCCGCCGGCGTACCAAGAAAGCCAGGCATGACCCGCGATGGTGCCGTTCTTCTCTCATTTCCCATACACGTCTATCCCCCACTTCCGAACAGTCTTCTAACAAAGCCCGCTCACAGACCTCTTCAACACTAACGCCTCCATCGTCCGGGATCTGGCCAAAGCCGTCGCAGACGCCGCCCCAGATGCCAACGTTCTGGTCATCGCCAACCCTGTCAACAGCACTGTCCCCATCTGCGCCGAGATATTCAAGGCAAAAGGCACATACAACCCCAAACGTCTCTTCGGCGTTACAACCCTGGATGTCGTCCGCGCGAGCCGTTTCATCTCGCAACACAAGAGCACGGATCCCGCTGATGAGAACATCACGGTTGTGGGAGGGCACTCAGGTGCCACGATCGTGCCACTCTTGAGCCAATCGGGATACAGTCTTGAGGGCAAGGATTTGGATGACTTCGTCTTCCGTGTGCAATTTGGCGGTGATGAGGTTGTGAAGGCAAAGGACGGTGCTGGATCAGCTACGCTCTCGATGGCCATGGCTGGTGCTCGCTTCGCCGAGAGTTTGCTCAAGGCTGCTCAGGGACAGAAGGGCGTTGTGGAGCCCACGTTTGTTGACAGCCCGCTATACAAGGACCAAGGCATCGACTTCTTCGCCTCGAAGGTGGAGCTAGGACCAAATGGGGTAGAAAAGATCCATGATGTGGGTAAGATCACACCCAAGGAACAGGAACTATTGGATGTTGCCCTGAAAGATCTAAAGAAAAATATTGTGAAAGGTATGTCTTCCGCGCCAGCATTGAACCCTCCTTCCTAGAAGCGCACCACGACTAATTTCTACTTGCAGGTGTCGAGTTTGTCAAGTCGAACCCATAGATAGGGACGCAACTATTCCACTGTAAAGACCATAGGCGGTTATGCTCTAATCCCCGGATATGGGATTTGGAATTTGGCAATGGGCCTGACCTTACCGCCTTCTAAGGATTTGTTGTATTCCCTTTCTCCGAAAATCCTCGAAAGCAAGCAATATTTGTGAAAGTTTCCTTATCAGATAGCTCTGTCTTCATATCAAAGACCTTGACAGGTTGATCTCATCCTTTTCCTCATCTCCTCTACGGCGGATCCCATGCCGCAACATCTCTTCCTTCCCTTTTTCCGCGCCGAACGCAATGCCCTGCATTTCACATTCATGGCATGATGATATCATGCATGAGATTATGACGTCGCTCTACGCTTCTTCTCGTCCGCCACTTTATCCTCCGTCCCTCGCCTTCAATCCATATTCACATCCACACCAACACCACCCATAATCCACACAGCAGTCTCCCATTATACCTATCGACCATGAAAATGGCATCATCCTCCTCACCTGCGCCAACGGCAAGCCATGTAACCAGCTCATCCCATTCCTGCTCCCCAAAAGGAAGCATTTACGCCTAGCAGTCAGCAATGACTCTTCCCGCCAACAGCTCCTCGAAAAATATGCCGGCAAGTCCAAAGCGCAAATCGAGGTCGTCCTGGCGGATTTGACGCAGCCAGATGACTGTAAGAGGATACTAGAAGGTACCACAGCAGTGTATCATGTCAAACCAACTTTCCATCCAAGAGAAACAAAGATCGGGTCCAACATTCCTCTACTCACGCGTACGAACCTTCTCGCTGACCACCTCCCATCGCAGCTATCACATGATCGACGCCGCTCTGACCAACAACCTCAAACACTTCACCTACTCGAGTCTCCGTCCTGCACCCCTGCCTCCGCAAACTCCTAAACCACAACTGCAAGCGCTACATCGAGGCAGCACTGATCGAATCCGGCTGACCCTACACCATCCTTCAACCCTCCAATTCCATCGACCTGTTCCCGATCCGGGAGATACTATCTGACGAGCGGCCGGTTTGCCGCGCGCTTTGGAACCCCGATGTTCCCTTGTGCTACACGTCTCTGTACGATCTCGTGGACGCTTCATCCGCTATCCTCGATCGGTGTGAGGACCATTTCTATGCGACTTATCAAATGGTTTCCACCTCTCCGCCGAAGGGATATGGCGAAGTTTGCAAAATAGTAAGCAAAGTCGTCGTCAAGGACATCAAAGTCGAAAAGATGCCGTTTCAGAAGACTATGGAGAGAGATTAGCCTGTAGAAACTATGTTTGGTCTAGGTGATAATCCGCACACGAGGGATGTTGCGCAGAGGCGGCTGCTTTACTATAACTACAGGGGGTGGGTGGGGAGTACGAATGTGATGAGGTGGGTGCTGGGAAGGGAGCCGATGGGGTGGGAGGGATTGGGTGAAGGGCAAGATGGAGGAAGTGGGAAAGAAATGATGCTAGAAGTCTAAGCCTTGTGGAACGGGACGTGGCAGATATTCAGGGAGCATTTGGGGTCTGCAGTGGGCTCCAACCTCGGCTGGATGGCGATATCGAGAAGTTTCAAGCTAAGGGATTGTTTTCCTTGGATCAGCACTGCAGGGTGTTGACAATCCGTTTGGGCTGTCGACATCTTGTTATCGACTACCACAGTGGGCCCCATCCATGAAAAGGTGGCGCTATCAGACGGAGTTGAGCTTGGAATCTGAACTGGCTGGGTTCACCTAGCAACACGTTGACGGAATATCTCGGCTGGCTTATTCAGGAAACGATCGTTGCCGAGCTTAACCTTGCATCACGTTAACGCAGTATCTTGGCTGTTTGCACACATTTGTTCACAAAGCTAGCATTGCCAGCTCTTGGGGGTACACCTTGTCTCGACATTTTGCCCTTGCCTTCGCACTGCCTAGCTATTGCTCAGGTGTCCGCAGTCTACATTTTCTGGGCCAGGGCCCGGCGTGGGACGTATAAAGACAAAAGACTGCATGAAAACTTGCAAATTCCTTTAGATGCTTGCCGTCCTGTTTGGTCTACCTTTCACCACTCGTATAGTCGTTGACCAAACGGTGTGTCCTTGAAAAAGGGTGTTGAGATCCACTCAAACCTCACGCCCACATTCTTGAATGTCTCCAGCGCCAACCCCTCAACATTGGATAATTGGGATAAGTTATGGTCGTTGGGATCTTGTGCGGAGGGATGCTGGAGCCACCAGATTAGACGTTTGAGCCCAGGCACACACACTTCCTTATTCTTCGCAAGCTCCCGGAACAACACGAGATCATCCTCCGGGCCGGCTGGCTTCTCCTCGCAGCAATTCAGCCTTTCGAGCTGGAGCTCTTCCAACTGTGGTGGTAGGACTTCATGCAACATGGCGTGAGACAGCGTGGCATAAGGCACCGCTAGCCGTTTGAGGGCGGTCCACTGGACGAATGAACCAGGAGACTGCACCGGTTGGTAATTCCTGAGAGCATGGCCCGTTGTAGAGAGTGCAAGTTCTTCGATTGTTGATAGATGGGCTAGCAGTGCGGGTCTGAGATCAACCTCGTGTGCCGGGTCGTTGGGCACCATCAGAGGCTCCCAAGGTGATTCGATCTCGAAAACGAAGCATCTCAAGTGTATGACAGCGTTTAGGAATGCCGTTACAGAATCGCCATGGATGCGCGGACAGCAATTCAGGAATCGAAGGTCCTCCACAGCCGAAAGACCAGCACGGATTCGACGCTGATCAAGCCAGTGCTCATGCTCGAATTTATCCGTGAAGAAGAGCTTCTCGGCCTGTACCTTCCGTACCGATGGCCCCCAAAGGTGC